AAAAAAAAAGAAATAGAACGACGAAAATATCCATGCCGAATATGCACATTGTCAAGAACAAAAGATATACATAATCTCGTATTTAACTCGTTCTATCTCTCACTTGTACTAATAATATACATGAATGAATGTTGTATATGCATATGAAAGAGAGAGAGGGAGAAAAGATAAAACATGTGCTTTGGCGGATGAAATTAATATTATAAACTATCTTTTTTTTTACTTTTCAATAATTTTAACTGATGAAGAATAAAATTGTTTATATGAGTATTATTGGTAACTCTTAACAATTATTTTCCTATCTTCGAATATGACATGTATATATTTAATAAAAATATATTACTTTTAGATTATTTTATTAATATAATTGACGCTATTAGAAGTTAATGTCTCTCAAATATAGAATTGCTTTATCTCTATTTTCCATTCAAAATGAGAAGATATATATATGTATAGTGTCAATGTGTGTTTTCTTTGTTAACAGTTAAAATTTTTCTATCTATATTATTGGCTATAGATGATAAATATAAGATAACTTTGACATTGATAGATATACACTTTGGAAAGCAGATGTTATCTTTAACAATTCAACAAAGATGAACCTTTACTATTTTATAATGTAATTTGTTAATATCAAGTGTGAATAATGCAATGAAAGAAGAACAAATAAACAGATCAAAATGATTAGTTGTTAATATACAAACATATTCATTCATACAGAATGTTTCACAAAACGTTAATTATCATTTTATGGTTGACAAAATTCTATCTAGTTTTTTTCGACATTCATGTGCATAAATCTATTTAATATTATGTATTATTTTTGTAAATGATACAGTTTTTTTAATTTAACTAGTGTCTGCAGATATAGAGAGAAATAGAATATGATAAGATGGATAAGTCAAATTACTCTACATTACTTCAAATGAGGAATATGGTTATATTTAAATTCTCTATTTTTTTCAAAGCATAAATATCGACAATAAAAAACTTTTAAAACATTAATTACTGCCTAATTGTATTTCATGGATAATTTCACTTTATTATGTTGCGTTAAGTTCTATTAAGTCAATTTTATTAATTATATACTGATAAAAACGACAACATTATATCTTCAACAACCTTTTTCATTCTTCTCTTTCCTATCTCTTTGCGTGTAGATGTGTTTTGTATTAGAACAACTAGAGAGAATAAAGAATTAGCGAGTAACTCGTTCTATCCCAGTAGAACAGTACGATTGTAACCAAGTGAGAAACATAATTCTTTAATATATATTTATTCAAAATAAAATGATCTGTGCAATATTCTTTATGAAAAATAATCATCATAAGTATGTAAAAAGTTTGAATTATCAATTTGAGTATCATCATCACCGGAAATCGAATTTTTCATATGTAATATATCGAATTTCTTGAGTAATTGAACAATTTGTCTATTTAAATGAAAATAAAATAATAGGGAATAAAATTTTTATTAGAAATCTTACTGAACATGTTCTTCAGTAAATTCACTTTGATCATTAGAAATAATTTCTTGTTTAATTTTTTCTTCTAATTTATCAAGTTCAATTAATAATTTTTCATTTTCTTTATTTGTTTTTATTACAATCATCTAAAAGAGAAAAAAACAGCAAATGAATAAATATTTTTAAAAAAATCTACTTGTGTATCTCGAATAATTTCTTGTAATTGTGTACAAACGGATTTATGAACAAATTTTTCATTTAATTCCTGTTTTTTTCTTGTTAATTGATCGAGTAAATCAAATATATTTTGTCTTAAATCATCAACTAATTCCACTTGTGTCTTCACTTTGATTTCTTTCGATGTATTTGACAATGCAAATATTCGAGCTAGAACAAAAAAAAACAATCGTTCGTTTTTCTTAAAATATTATTTTCTAAGTGAATAACCTGGCGCTTCGTCTTGTATTCTAATTTGTTCACGTTTTACTCGTTTAAGTTCTTCATTTAACTGTCGATTTCGTTCTATTGCTCGTCTTGCTTGTTCTTCAACTTTATCAACATCAAATAATTTTGGATTAGTTGTTGAAAATTTCGGTTGAGCTTGACGTAATCGTTTTAATTGTTCAGCAATATGAGTACCATATTCAGGTTGACTGATTAATAAATGATCAAGATAGAAATCATATTCATCCTAAGTCAATTAATCAATCAATCAAAAAAATAAGAAATATTCATTTTATTTACTTTAATACGTTCAAGAGCAGGACCAAAAGCAACTGAACCTTCAGTTAATTGATTTAAAGCTTCACCATATGCTTGAAGACGAGTTAAACTAATTGTTTGACCTTTATGTTGACTATCAATAGCTGATAATTTCTAAGATGAAAAGAAAATCCATACGAAATATTTTTTTTTATAGTAAAAATAATTTACCATTAAAAGTGTTTGTTCAACTGAAGCAACAAAATCTTCACTATATCCCAAACCATGTAAATTAACATCTTTCGTTTGTATAACTGTATCGTTAAATGTTTTCAATTTTCGTACTCGTTGTTCTTCGGATATATCGATTGAAAATGTTGGTACTTGAAAACGCTCATTAGTAATCGGTGGTAATTGTTCACAAGTTATGGATGATGAAGGTGATAATGATTGTTGTTCATCTAACTAATATAATTCAATAATTTTATATTTTCTTTCTACATAGTTTAATAGGAAAAAATGATATTACTCTTGGTGATTTTTGTGATTGTTTTTTTGGAAGTTCTGGTAAACTTAAATAAGTAAAATCAACTAAACTATCTTTCATATGTTCAATATTTGATGAATATGTTTTCAGACGATGTGATGGTCGTAATGTTGGATGCGGTTTTTGTGAAGATGACCAAGTTGGTTTTCTTTTTCCATCGATTGTATTCGGTGGATGATAAAGATGATTTTCATTTAAATGTCCTGATGTTAAATCTTTAATACTTTGAATTTGTTCACGATAAATTGTATTACAGATCTCTTTCAATTGAGAAGACATATTTATTATTAATATTGAATAAAATTACTTATTCATACCATATTGATGAATCAAATCAAAGAGGTCATTAACAACGAATATTTTTTCAAGATTATTAATTCTTTTTTTAACATAAATCATTTGTATTTTTAAATTAAAATTCATTTTCAAAATATTTTTTCTAATTTATTTATATCTTGAAATAATTAAGATGTCGCTATAGCATAGTTGATGACTGACAAAAAAAAGGTTTCATATTATTAATTGAATTAGAATATGAAATAAAATATTATCAAGAAGAAAATTCTTTATTATATTTTTGTTTTTATTTGAAATAAGTAACTGTCAAGAATTGAATATAAGATTTCCGTCTTTTATTTCCTGTTGTAATTTTATTGAAAAAATATTTGATTAATTATTCCTTATTGCATATATCTCTATTTAACCATTAAAATTTAATAAAAAATGATTTTATTTCTTTTTTTGTATTGTATTTCTTTGTAGTCATTTAAGATTTTAGTGGATGTCTTTGTATGTACATAGTCATCTATAGTAGTTTATTATCAGCAAATACTTGAGAAAAAGAAAGAATGAATATAACAGCGTCGACTTCAAATAGCAGTTGTTCAACATTTTGGCTTTTTCTTACTGCTATACAATTAATTGTAATGATGTGATGGCTAACGGGAGAGTAGAACAAAGAATGACGGCGGCTGATTGTTGTCTCGGTAACTCTCATTTCTCTCTTGTCGCACACAGGAAAAAAAGTGAGTTGAAGGAAAGAAATAAAGAAAGGTGGTTGCGGTGTTGTATGTCACTATACTAAGAATCGTCTACGTGGTAAAAAAGTAACGCAGTAAAAATCGTGCTCGTCTTTTTTTTCTTGTGTTTCTTTACTGGCAATATTAAAAAAATATGTGGGAATCAGCAAATACAACAGCTACAAATACAATTGATTATAATTCTCAAATATCATTTTATGAATATCCACCACAAAAACCATTTATTAATTCAATTTATCAACCATTAAGATCATCAAATTCATTATCGAAAACAGTTGTTTTACCAGAATCTAATCGAGATCAATTACTAACAACATTACAAGCTTTATCATTGAGAATAAAAACATTAGAAAATGAACGAGAGGTTTGTAAAAAATAATTACAGAATCCTTAGTTATCTAAAAGAGAGAAAAACAATAAATTATTGAGTCATCAGTAGAATTTTATTACCCACTTTTTAATAAATTAAAAATTCTTTTATAGACAAATGTTATATAAGATACCAGAGTATTCATCTGAAATTTCATCTTTCATTAATATTTTAGAAAGCTGAATTAAATTTACATCAAATTACAAATGATATTCATCAACCACGAATTCATCATAAACATGTACAAAATACATCTGACAAACAAATGAAAAAAGGAAATCAAGATCATTATTCTTCTCAAGATCAATACAATAATAAAACACTTCAAATAACAAATGAAGATCGACCTCGAAAGATTCGAACAGGACGTAAAAAGAAACGATCATATCAAGAAAACGATAATTTTGATATAGGAAATAGTGAAGGGCGACATTTTCATGTTGATATTAATACTGTACCATTTATTCTTGGTGCATCAACAACACCAAGTCATAATGTTAAATCAAATCTACAAAATGTAAATTAAAAACAAAATTCTAAACATTCTATTTCTATATTTTAATTTAGGTAATTGCTTTATTAAAAAATCATAATCATCACTTATGTTTTTCATCGAAAGAATATTCTGAACTACTTCATTCTAATGTTAAAAATGATTTTTCACCCCATAATGATCATTATAATAAATCATCAAGAACACGTTCGTCATCAGCATCACCAGTTCGTTCAAAGTCAACATCAATAAGACGGTCACATTCAGCTGTTCGTCGTCCTCAAAGTTCGATTAATTCTGATAGACAATGTTATTCTAGAATAAAATCTCTTCGACAAGAATTTGAAATACTTGCACGTGAACATACAAGTTTAAATACATCTCGAGCAAATTCAAGAGAATTAGAAATTATTAATCGACGAATGGAAATGATTCTGGATGAATTAGAACGTTTACAAAGACAAATAAAAATTTCATCAAGAAAATCATCGTCATTTCGAGATCAAATTGAATCAGAAAAAATTGAAACACCTTTAGAAACATTAAGAAAAACAAGATTACTTCAAATTATTCTTAAAGATCCAACTAATAGACAATTATGTCGAGAACGTTCTCATCGAAGACGATCAAATATAAATGACTAAATTTAATTTTTTATTTTATTATTGTATTTTACAGATAGAATAGTATCTATGTGCCTTCAATATATTGTTTCTTTTCTTTTTTTTTTACATTATTACATAATAGATAGTTTTATAAATCTAAAACATATGAATTACATTTAAAAAGAAAAATGTAAAAATATTTTAAGTATTCTATCTTATAATCTCTTCAGAAATGAGTTTGTTATTCTTACAAAAAAACATCAAATAATGCTTCATATTAAATAACACTTAGTCGCTAGACAGCCCGTCAGTATCGTTTTTGTTGAGAGAGAGAGAGAGTATATGTACACTTGTTCTGCTATGATTTCTCTTATTTATGTTCTTTAACAAAATAATTTTTAAACACATTTTAATGTGCAGATTTGTAGATGAGTTCTTTTTATCCTTTATGAGATATATTTAATAAATAGAATATAAGTTATATATTAGTTAAGTTTTGTTTGTATCCTCTTTGGTGAGTTGTTGTACGGCTTCCCGTAATTCGACATTATCATCTGCAGGCCGACGCATTTGAAATAGATGTGTAACTTCTGCATAGTCACCAAGATAACCACATCGAGCAATAGGATTTGCAGCAGCTGTATCAAATAGACCTTCAGATGTAATAAATTTTCGTCGAATATGTACACCAACGACTTGACCTAATACTAAATAATTCTTAGTAGGTTTTCCATCGATATCATGTAAATGAGTAATGGAAATAAGACGACATTCAAAATTAGCTGGTCTAAAAAAATAATATTATACAATCTTAGTACAAAAGCTTAGTAAATAAAACTTACGAATCTCTTACACGTGGTACATTGACTAATCGACTCGGTACTGCTTCTAATCCAGCAAGTTGCATTTCATTTATTCCGTAAGGTGCTGCATATGATGTTATATTCATTTTTTCTGCTAATTCACGTGTTGCTAAATTAAATACAAATTCTTTTGTTTGTTCAACATTAGTAACACTGTCTTTATAACCAGTCGATGAAAAACCTACAATATGTGGATTTTCTCCCAATGCATTAAAAAATGAGTATGGAGCAAGATTAACGTGACCATCGGCAGATCGAGTAGATATCCATCCAATAGGTCGAGGAGCTACAATAGCTTTAAATGGATCATGTGAAAGACCATGACCAGATTTCATTTCATAGAAATGTTCGTCACTCATATTGATGATGAAATAGTACAAAGTGCATATCTATAATAAGTTATATACTTACATTATTAGACTGCACTGTCATAGAGAACGAAAGAAAAGATCAATCCCCACGTGTAGTATGATATAGTGCAAGAAAGAAAAGAAACAAATCGTTTTACTATCGTCATTTTTGTACCTGTCCTTCACGACTGAACATATAAAAAAATGAAATATATACCGGCAACTATCTTGAGAAATATGAACACGAACACATAGTTATACATTATTCTTAAGATATACAGTTTTTATTACAATAATTTTTGAGTTATTTTCTAAATAACAAAGAATATAAAATTTATATTTTTTTAAACATTAGATATTCTAAAATACATCTATCAAAATTCTAATATAAAAAATTCCACACAATTGGTTACGATTTGTCTTTCTTTCTTTTTTTTGTATATAAGATATATTACATAATATGTTTGCCATTGAAACGACCAGTAAAAGAAACTCATTTGTCGGTCGTACCGTTGAAAAGAACACTTATTCTTTCATTTTATTACTTTTTTTTCTTTTCAAATAAAATTTCTTCCATTTCATTTGAATGTTATATGAAAATCTTAAATTATAGATCAGCATCTCTAATTCTATATAATACATCAATTTTATTTCCATAAGTAACTATTTTATATAAAAAACAACCTTTCATTGATATTTCAATGAATGTACTAAACTCAAAAGTAGATAAATTTAATTCTTTTATTTTATTCTTTTTATAAATGTTGAATTGTTTCTAGTATTCAAGGAGATATTTGTTTTTAAAGCTGACTGTATATGAAAATGAAAGTGAGTTTCAATGGACTTTTCTTTTCAAGGATAATCATTTCATGTTTGTTTTTTGTTATATTTTTATTGATTTATTAGATGATAAACAAGAACCAGCGTTTTAATAGAACGAACGACGTATTTTAGTTTTTAATCTCATCAAACAGATATCATGAGGTAATTTTATTGATAAAATATTTATTTCTGAAAGACTTTTCTGTTTCTATCTAAATAACAGTGCTCACTCGTTTGTAATGTTTACCTGTTGATTTTTGCTAATATTCATCGACTACGGTCGTTAAAATCTTGGTTTTCATTCATAAAATACCATCATTTTAATTATGAGTATTGATTATTTATTATTATTTTGTTGATTTTCTTTTTGTTTGAATTAGTATATTATGAATATCAATTTAAGAACTTGCTTTGTTTCTACCATGTGATCATTCTTCAAATAACAAAAATAAAATAAAAAATATATATTTATTTGTATAATATTTAGATCAGAACACGTTATGATCCTGAGGATGGTTGTGGGTGCTTTTAACTTGAAACTCAATTTTTGAAATGATGATCAGTATTAAAAATAGAAAAAAATAATTTATATGTGATATTAAAAGATGTGTAGTAAAAGAAACTCTATTAGAGTGTACCATATCTAAACTTTTGACAATCAATAAATTCTCCTAACCGAAGTCTTTTTATCAGACTTCAAAAGCTTCGACATGTTCAATCTCGAATAGAATAGACTTTGCTTTACTTCATTTCGAACGGTATTAGAAGAATACAGTATTATCGATACACTATCGTAAGCCATTGTTTTATAAGACTACTTCACACATCCTACTCTATAACATTTAATAATATTAATCTCTTTGCCTCCTGTGACAATCATCAGTTGGTACGCTTCAGATTACCTGAACATCGATTTATGATTTCCATATATATTTATAAGTAACTTTTGCTGAATGATAACAATAAAAATGAAGAAGATTATTTATTCACAATTTTAAATAGATTTGTTCGAAATCACTGGAATTTTTGGGTTGAAACATGCTTAGTTTCATTAAATTAATACCCAATCTGTACTCAAAGGTTTTTTTTCAGTATTGAATAATGAATAGTTCATTTGTTATACAATAGCCAATCAACTTTATATCAACAAGAGTAAATAATTAGTATTAAAGAGTATTTATATAAAAGTAAATATTTTCTACTGATTATGGTCTTTATCTTTGATTCAAATTAAGTGAGATTGAACGTAGATGTAGATATTGTTTCCTCTCAAAAGAAAAAATCTACAAACAAAAATTACTTTATTTTTATCCGGAACAGTATTTTCTCTAACTATGTAGTATATAAATATATATCATTTGTGTTCGTTGATGGATGAACTCTGTACCAGACACACAACTCTTTTGATATATTTATAAAAATTCTTTCAACTGGAAATATTTTGAAGAAATATATTTTCTTTTGCTTAGAAGATTATAAAAAATACAGGGAGAAGAAGTTATCCAATGGAAATAATAATAATTATCTAATTCAAGATTAAATAAGATAGTAAACCATCTTTCATATCAACAGATAGAAGGGAGTACTTGTTATTTATAATAATATTCTTTAGTTGATGGATATGGTATCTTAATCAAAATCTCTTTTTAATGACAACGAAATGTGGATAGATAGAAAGTTTTTTATTAGAAGAATCTTCTCTTCACATTTAATCTTAATAGATGTGCATCGATACATGCATTTAAGCAAGTATTATTACAGATTGGTAATCCATCTATGATGTAAATACTTATAATGACTGAATACTCATATATAGAAATGCATTGAAACCTAGTATGAAGAACGATATAGAGAGAAATCGAGTGCATAAAAACACCTATTAGATCTGAATTGATATATCTTCAAAAGACTATTATTGTTATGGTAAGTATAATATCATATTAAATTAGTTTTTTTTTAATCATAATCTTAATATTACTGATGTATCTTATAAGTTTTTTCAATAATGAGGACATACAATTCATGGCATGCTTGTTTTTGTAGATAGTATTTGTTATTTCTAGTTTTTGCAATTCTAATGTCATCTTCATCATCAGATATCATACTTATCACTAATTTAAAAAATATTCTTTCTCAATTAAATTTTTATTTTGGTTTATTTATCTTTATATTTGGTATTGTTGGTAATACTTTGAATATTTTAATATTATCTCAACGAACTCTTCGTTCAAATTCATGTGTCATTATCTTTCTAGCATCTTCAACAGCAGGCATCATTGCAATTTTATCGGGTCTTACATCTCGTGTTATATCAGGTGTTACTGTAGATTTATCAGCAACAATTAGTTGGATTTGTAAATTACGTGGTTTTATCTTATATACATCACGAGCAGTTACTTTTTGGTTAATTATGTTGGCTGCTATTGATCGATGGCTTTTATCATGTAGAGATGCTCATCGTCGTAATATGAGTTCAAAATCAAATTCATTTCGTGGTATAATTATTATAACAATACTATCAATTCTTATACATTCTCAACTTTTCTACTGTTACGAAGCTAATCTTATTAATACACCATTAAAATGTTATACAAAAAATATTGAATGTCGTTTAATAAATGATTTAGCATTTGCAATAATTGCAATACTTCTTCCTTTAATATTAATTTTAATATTTGGTTGGATGACAATATTAAATACACGTTCAACTAAAAATCGCCTTGAACCTATGACTATGACTACTATCAATCAACCAATACAAATAAGTACGACTAAAAAGCAATCTAAGAAAACAGATCAACGTTTGCTCATCATGCTTTTTGTACAAGTTATTTTTCTTGCTTTATTTACACTACCACTTGCACTTCAAAAGCTTTATGCAACATTTACTTTGAACATTCCTAAATCAACATTACAAATGACTATTGAAGATTTTATATATCAAATCGCTTTGATTTGTACATATTTTGCAACTGCAATGCCATTTTATATTAATACTCTTAGTGGTGGATATGTTTTCAGAAAAGCAATGTATACTTTGAAAAACTCAATTATTCAGAAAGTGATTTGTAAATAATTAATTGTACTCATATGAATTGTTTCAGCTAATATATCGGCTTTTTTTCAGATGGAAACTGTCACTTCATTTATTTAACTTTCTATATTTTAATAAATATTCTCAGACTAAAATTATATATTTTTCTGTTTTTTATTCGCATAAACTTAAGATTTATAGGGTGTGGGTGAGTGTTCATCCTTTCTTCATTTAAACCCATATACATCCACCACACTGAAAATTTTAAATACGTTTGAAAATCTAAATATATTGAACATCTATGAAAAAAACTCGAAGTTAACGTTTTGCTTTATAATTAAAACAACACAATACAAAAAAAGTCATTTAGTAAATTGTAAGACGGAGCTCATTTCGTCTTAGATCATCTTTAGTATCAATGAATAAATTTGAATTATATAGATTAAACGTTTAAAAATGTATCCTTAAGTTATATGGATAGGCTTGTTTTGAAGATCTAATTGTTTTAATTTCATTCTAAATAACAAACTTATGCTTTCTTTCGAATAATATCTTTTTCAAGCTAATCTATTTTATTCATATTTGTAAACATATTTTTAATAATAATATATAGAATCAAGAAGAAAAAGAAATCAAATGAAGCATCTTTCTAAGATCATAAAAAGCAAATTCATAGTCGATAGTATTCGTGATAATAAATATCTTTCACAACTTTTTCTCTTGATTATAATATTAAAATCTAAAATGTGAATAATTTTTATAGATCCTACATTCTCAGTTAACACAGTTTATAATTAAATATGAACAAGATATTACCTCATTTTGTAGGTACAAAATCGAAGTATGATAATATTATTTAAAATCAATTAAATTATTTTTTAGTTCAACTCTTCTGAAATATATATATTTTTTAGAACAATTTGTATCTTTTAATTAAACAACTTGTAATTATACAATTGATGAATGGGACTGTTCAACTGTTGCTATCATTGGTGGATATGATGATGACGATGCATGAATAGATGGAAGTGAAGACGTTGCTACTTCATAAGATGGAGGTGGAGCTTCGTATATACTAGGAAATGAACGAGATGATGGAACAGCTCCAACATAAGAAACAGGTCGTACATGAACAACTCGTACTGGACCATGAATAACTTGTTGTTGATAGGGATTCGTGTTCATTCGTGTATTTGCATTAGCGAAATTAGTTTGCAGACGTTGTTGTCGTTGATGTGAATGTATGCAACAACTTAAACATGTAATAAAACAACAGATTGAAGCCATGATAATAATAGCAATAGCAGCTGGTGGAAGAGTTGAATCATCATGACAAAATCCCAGATCAGTTCCACATGTTTCGTCAACTATTAATAGATAAAAGAAGAGAACTAAAACTATTTTAATTGATTAGGAAATTAGCTTACGAGAACAACACCATGTGATCAAACCTTGTCTGCATGTGTTTTCTATATTAAAAATAAAAGAAAAGAATAACTATTTTCTATTTATGAAGAATTGTTATTGATGTTCACATACGTGAATAACTACAATCACTAAATACACTTGTTGATGTAAAAATAAGTAGAATACTTATAGAAAATAAACTATTAATTGCTGAACTAAACATTTGTCTATAGAAAAAGAATGTTTCACTCTGTCGTTGTCTTGCAAAAAAAATGGATCTTATCACTGTTTTATCTAAATAATATGTAAGAGGATGATTCGTTGCAAACAGATAAGAAGCCCACATGGCTGCTCGGATGATGTTGTTTGATACTTTTTTTCTCCACCGGCGAAATATCTATTCAAATAGACAGAAAGAATGAGTTGATAAAGTGACATCATTCTTACATCATTTAGACCATCTGCAGACAATTATTATATTCATAAACAAAACATTCTTTTATAGGTGCTATAATATTAATATTTCAAAAAAATCTTACACGAAAAGTACACTTCTTGATTCCTTTCCCTATAAAAAAGGTCACAAGTATGACAAACATACTCATAAATATATTTATTTAAAATCTTAAAACCATGACCAATCTGTATATATTTATAATACAGTTAATGGTATAATTTAGAATGTATGTATATAAAGTAAAAAACACTAATTATCAAAAATCTAAGAATTTATGTGAGAATGATAAGTATTAAATCATACGTAGGTATAGGGATGTTGCTTTGTTTTTACAATGAAGAATAAAGAATAGATTTTTTTGTTATAGAAAAACGGACAGATGATTGATATGATAACAATGTATACTCTATATAGTGAATCTATACATAATCACCTCTAGTCTTATAAAAATCCAAGGATATAAAGTCTATAGAACTTTACCTAATAAAATCATCATAGTGGTTCTCCTATGCTATCCTAGGAGAGACATTCGCACGCACACCCAACTCTATAGAATATAAGAAAAATTCAACTTCTTATTATTTATTAATTCTTTGTCAAAAATAGTTTGTCTATGAATAAAACTGATGATTGTAATTCACGATTCTCACATATATTCTTATCATATTTTTGATAATAATAACGAAAAGAAACTATTACTGATGGATTTTTCTTAGTTTTTATTGTTTGATGTAAATCTTTGAGTGAATCTTTATCAAGACGAATTGTAATTAAATTTTCATCATATAATCTTCCAGAACCATATTCAACATGTTCACTAAATAAAGTACATTCTTGTTTTATTTGATTATATATAATCGTTTGACATAATGATGATTCTTGACATAGATTAATACATCGTAAACGATTTTCTGATGTAATAAATCTTTTGTGAGGATACAGTATACCATTCGATATTCAAGATACACTATTACTTGATGACAAAGTTATATTTCAATAATTAAATTTAATGAAATAGCTAATATAAATCGCTTTATTTTTCTTTCTCTTATCATATTCATTTTCAAAATCTATTCCTTACATTATTCATATTTGATTTTCTGTATATAGTTCACGAAATAATTGTGATAACATCTTGTTTTTTTTTCATTTTATATAAACGTAAGAAAAAAACATTTTTTTTAAAATCTGTTATATGAATTTACTGAGACAAAAAAACAAAGTCTAGAATGACAAAATAGTCGTGCTGGTACTCCTGATCAATTCGTTTTAGCTGATACTTGATCATCCTTCATCACAAGTGTCCACGGGAGTAGACGATTCTGTCCTTGCAGTTGTGCTCCGGAAAGTATCAATGCATTACTCATAATCACGCTTGAATCATTAATAGTCACTGGCACCAATTTGAACAAACGTTGTTCAAATGTATGACACTTAAGAAATAATTTAAAAAAAAAACAAATACTATATTTACTGATCTGTATAATGTAGAAGTATTCTTTTACCTGAATATGAGCACCCATATGTAAACGAACATGATTACCAATAGTTGTCAGATGAGGATCAGTAAAACAAGTGATATTATGTAGAATGACATCAGGTGCTATCTTGGCACCAAGAATACGATAAAGAATAACAAGATATTGTGTTCCAGATAGATATGATCCGATCATGATTGAGAAATCATTTACGAATGTATGAAAGAACCACTGAAGATGAATAGTTACCTTAGAAAACATGAACTGTGTTCTGTTACTTCTAATTGAAACCAAAGAGTAATAAGTAATGCAGGCAAGAATAAGGTCAAGAAATGGTGCAATAGCAAACGATAGTGATGAATATAGAGTAATAGTAATATATTTGCTTATGCCAAGACTGATACACGTGAGCAGCAGAGAATGGAAAGATATATAGTTTGAAGATGATGATGTTAAATCATTGACAAGATGTGTGAAGGAAAGCATGCTAAAGGGCATTTCACGAGTTGGAATACCAAGTAAAACACGATTCATATGTCTACAAACTATTAATCATCATGAGTGAGTGAGAGTGAGTTAAGCTACCATGGCTATAGTTGAGTTTACTATATTATCACTAGAAAACAACTACGGTTTCGAATGCTCTATATTCTACTACCTTCGATCAATTTTTATTGAAAAGAATGGTTATATCCATTGGTTGCTCGATGTTTAGCGGCCACTATCGTGTGCTGGAATCTGATTGATTAGACAAACAAACCATTTTCATTTTCTCGGCAGTGATATTTTTTGCGATATAATCTTTCTTTTACAAGCGACTATAAAGAGTGAGAACGGAAAAGAAAAACTGGACCACGTCCTTTTTTTTTCTTTCTTCCTGTTTTTCTCGGTAGATACGTGCTGCACTGACGGAGTAGCTACTTCTTTTAACATAGAACAGAAAAAGAAAAAGACAGAGGCAAATAAATACATTTTTTTCGTTCTGTACCTTATGAATAATAATAAATGTGGACTCTTCTTTTCTCTACCATTTTTCTTAGACATGTCGTACTCAAGAATATTAGACACCACTGAACATATAAATGTCATGAAGCAAAACGAGCACTACAATCAAAATAGTGCCCCACAACTTAATTCCGTAATAAAATCATTTCCATACATCCAGAGAGCCGTTCTAGAGTGTCAAGCTAGTACTAGGGATGATCTCCTTACTTCACTTACAATCGTCGACTATGGATGTTCACAAGGTGCAAATTCTGTAGTGGCAATCGATGAAATTCTATCTAACTTACGAAAGAAATACTCGACAACGCCTTCACTGAATTTCTTAGTGGTATTTAATGATCAGACAACAAATGATTGGGCAACACTATTTAAAAGCGTTGAAAAACACTTCTCGAAAGATAAGTATGTCACAACCCTTGCATCAGGAAAATCTTTCTATGAACAAATCATGCCCTCAAATTCTGTACACTTTGCTTATACATCTACAGCA